CTGTGATGAACTCTGAAACCTGACTGAAACTCTTCAAATAAACCATTCCTCTGCAGATGATCTGTTAGCTGTTTGACAACTACTCTTTCAAGGATGTTTGATATGAAAGGAAGGTTGGAGACTGAAAGAAATCCAGAAAGAAAGAACACCACAAATAAAAATCACCAACCCTGCAAACGGTGTTTGCATGTCAGGTCCTTAGTGTTACAGTGTTGCTGGAAACCCACTGGTGGGATGACAGACCCGTGACCAGTTCAGCCAGTGACACTGACAACGCCTCCCAGGCGCCTCAATATATGGCAATATATGGCGCATATGGCATATAATAAAACTTTGTAGCGAATAATGGCTTAATTTTAGTGGACAAGCATTTTTTGCTTTTTTTGGAAACCGAATTTCCCAGAGGAACCCACCCGAGGGATTAATAAAGTTTTATCTTATCTTATCTTATATCAGGCTACGTCAATAGCGGTTGTTCTTCAGGGTTTCTACCCCACGGCCGTATTTCATACAGGTCCACATTTCCAATGCACGCTATTTTCTGCAAGTACCGTCTCTTTGCATCCGGACGCAATCTGTCTCTGTACCGTCCTTTTTCCTTTAAACTGCTTTTAAGCATGTTTCTAGCAACCGTCCTTCTAACACAGTGTCTTCGTTTTGATTTGTGGCCCAGAAAAATGGCGCCACGCTCCCACAATAGCTTGCGGCGTGACTTCAACTACAAAGCCCTATAAGGACCACAAATGGCACCTGTAAGAGACGTGGTTACGAAGCGGATTTCAAACTCCAGGCTGTCGGTCACGCAGCAGAAGTTGGGAACAGAGCAGCTGTGAAATTTTTGTTATTATGCACAGCGTCTGTTAGTTTACATTTTGACTGCACAAAAACAACATAGTTTTCTTTTATTTATGGAGCATTATTATTTAATAAATGCTGATAATTTATTTCTGAGTAATTTTTTCATGTACATGAACTGTATGTTAATAAAACAGCTTTGACTAAGAACTCTCTTTTCGTATCTCGCCATCCAGCTAAAGAATATCAAGATATGAATTTTGGGCCATATCAACCAGCCCTACCTACAACTTGTCTGACAGAGTCGATTAGCCTGGAACTGATTCTGAGCAAAGTTGCATAAATCAGTCTGCTGAAGAAGTTAGACCTATTAGGGTTCATTAGGATAGACTAGAGAAAAAAATCTGCCTGTTCAAAGATGAAGCTAAAACTCAACAATGGTATAAAGTCTGGAATATATAAGGTTTATTTCCACAGTCAGTGTGTGGAATGCAGGAGAAAACAATCTAAATGTAACAAACTTAAACGTCTCACCTGTCAGAGGTGTCTGATTCCACAGCCGGTGCTTCAGTGTGTCAGTTTATAATGGATGAACCTACTTGCAAAACCAGTCGGTGCTGCCTGTACGAAATGAATCAGTGGAAGTTTGAAACAGTTGGAAATATCTTAATGTTTCGCTTTGAACGCACAAGATGTGAACCAGGAAATCACGGGTCAGTGAAGGGCAGCAGCACTGGGATAAGCCAATCATGGAAGAAAGGTTTTGCTGTCACTGCTGAATTAGGGGTAAGTGAAAACCAGAGAGAGAGACAGATGGGAAATTCTAGTCACATGTTCAGTTTTCTCAACTTTTTGGTATCTTGTATATTTCCTCAGACATTCTCTTGTAAATTGTAATGTGCTCCCTGCTATATTTATATCATTATCTTCCTACTATCCAACCCATCCCCCGTCCTTCCTCTTTCTGTCCTTCTCATCCACATTGACATTCCTTTTAATCTATTTATAGAGGCAGATGGCTCATCTAAGTGTTTGGAGAGGAAAAACAGGGCATGAGACTAAATTTTCTTTCTGTTGACCAGGCTGCTGCCTTCTTTCTGTCAGCCATTTGAACAATGACGCTATTATGTCTTTAACTACATGGCATGTGAACTGTTAAGGCTTTTATGAAGAAAAACAGAATTATCATTTCTAAAC